TGGAAATAACCACCATTATTTCCACCATGACTCTAGCATACGACTGAGAAAAGCGGCTTACGAGCAAGTTGCTTGTTTGTGCACGAGGGTGCAGCACACTTGCGGTTGTCAGTGAAATATTTTTCTTCCTCTACACCATTTAGTAATATACGTATTCCTGGAATATATTTAATCGGCGAGTGACATCGATTACACACCTCATGGGTTCCAGTTCCATGGCCTGTCGACCAATCACATTCCTAGAATTTTCGGAATCCACGGGCAGAATTGCATTCTTTTTGCAATTTGCCGTTTTTAAATCAATCGTAGTGCGCGGAAGTACCAAAAGGACAAAGGGGAAAAGTGGGACCAAGCAGGGAAAGGGGGACAAAGACGGCAAGGGGACAAAATGGGGCAAATCGGACAAAATAGGAAAATGAGTCAAAATGGTGGAATGAGACAAAGTGGGTAAAGGGGTAAATTGGACTAGGGGGCAAAATGGGACCAGAGGACAAACTGTTACAAATGGACAACTGGACAAAATGCGCCGAACGGATAAAAGGGCCTAATGGGACTAAGAGACAAAATGTGACAATGGAGCAAAGGGGACAGGAAGACAAAATGAGACAAGAGGGCAAAATTGTACAAGGGGCAAAATGGGACAAGGCGAAAATGGGACAATGGGATAAAATTGGACAAGTGAACAAAATGGTCCACGGGAACAAATGGGACAAGTGAACAAATGGGGCAAGGGGACAATGAGACAACGGGACAAGGGTATAAATGGCCAAAAATTTCCCAACAATCTTCCGATTGGACTGAAACTATATAAATCGTTTAAGAACGATGAAACAGCATAGAAAATTGTCTTTATGGCATTAAATTGTATTCCTATTAGCTTCATGTTGAAGATTATTAAAAATTTCAGGTTTTGCATGAGTTTCAGAGGGTACTATAAAAAAAGTACTAAAACATCTTCAAATTTGATTTTACTTTGCAACTTGCTTTGTATTTCTTTTTTATACATACCTCTCTGAAGGTTAAAATGATAAACCTAATTATAGGGCATTAATAAGCCCGTATTAAGACTAAATTAAAAAATAAGGATTTTAATTTTCATTACAATCAAAATAACAAAATTAATTTTCTCAAATACCTAATCTCAGGATTTGTCGTCATTTTTTCGTATATATCTTATTCGCAAATAATCTTGCTTTTATTATTTAGTGATTGGTTCTCTTATGTTTTAAATGTATCTAAAGCATATTTGCGAAGGCAGAAACTTTAGAGGTATACATAGCGGTATGATAAATATTAATTATCAACCTGAAATTAAAAACACATTTAGTGCATTAGTAGCCTTACTGTCCATATTTCGGGTAATGAAAATTAATTTGAAGTAGTTAATCATTTATAACACTTCACATTTACATTTCAATAGAAAATACGAGCTATCATTTCATTTCTATTGAAAGTTCTTCATATCTGTCAGTATTAAACATTGTTATTAAAAAGAGTTTACACGCTTCGCGAAACAACACGACTGGCGGGCGTCATCTTGCAGTCTAATAGCTCTAAACAAATAACTTCTCTGAGTTACAACACAGTTTTAATTTCTGATTTGCCAATAATTCGTATGTCAATTCGCGCACTAACTTACAAACATGCCTCCAAACTGCAACATATTTCACGTTTTTCTTAGTATGCAATTAGGTTTGATCAGATCCATTAATGGCTTAATAAGATTTTAGCTTATTCTTTCAATATTAAAAAGGAGAGGAAATAAATTAATTTTCGTTCTTATCCTAAAAAAAGGCATATGCTTCAAGCTCTGCAAGCTTCAGCAAGTATTCTTATCTTTCAAATTGTTTACTTGAAGTGGTCAATACTGACGCAATGGCCACTACTAGAATCGTTACCCTATTTTTTCTTAGAATTTCTTAATTTACTCTAATTGATGTTGTTCAGTCACCTTACGTTACAACCGAGAAACTAGAATTTAACAGCGCAAGTGATAAAAGAAGTCTGATTTTCAGATATGCGAGAGAGTTTTTGTGAAGTTGTTTACATGTGTATTCACGAGCTATATTTGTTTATGATTAATTTTCACCCGGTGAATGCCACATGTGCCACACTGCTACGCACATGCGTAGCGCAAGTGGAAATCATAGGTAATGCGTGATGCACGTAGGATGCGTATGTTTGAATGAAGACCAGAAAAAATGACATTTTTTGAAGGTACTGAAGCATATGGGAAAGAATGATTACAATGCAGTTTGGTAATATGAACAAAATCAACGTTGTCGGTTTGAGGAAAATGAGCGTATGAACAGCTTATTTAGTTCTCCGTTAGAATAGTCAACATATATTCTAGTAAATATAACATAATTAAATGTTTGGTATTTTATATGATTTTGCAGACAAGTGTCCTTGCAAAATGAAGACCTCGTTTTCTTCTTAACTAAACGTTTACTTGGAGTTCACGAGGTACACTCGAACACTAGATATTTAAATAAAAATGTTTGTGACTGTAACATTATTTCTACAAATTGAGGAGAGAGCGTTCCATTGGTTATTGTGGATATATTTTCTTGCGCTCATTGAGATGTTTGTAACCGTGTTTAAATTGGAATTTAGAGATATTTTACTTTCATTGATTGAATGATAGGGAGATCTGAAATGTTGCTAATATAAAGTTACGGGGAAATGGAAGCTATTCGTTAGTTAGCTGTGCTAAGAGCGAGCCAGAACAAACAAGGTCAATCAGTGCCTATTCAAAAGTACCTATTGAATCAGTGTTTTTTGTAAAAAATGACGTAAGGGCAGAAATATATTTTCAGCAAACGCTGATGTCTATAACTACAACACTCGACGTAGTGATCATATTCATTAGGTGACAGTATCAACAGCTCACTACAAAAAATGCACATATAATACATGTACATTATTGCACACAACACCTTGCATAAAACATGTACATTATTGCACACAGCACCTTGCCAGATGACATTAAACGATTAAATTCGATACAAAAGTGTTAAGTCCCAATTACAAGCTTTTCTGCTGCACAACTGTTTCTATGCAATTAGAAGCTATACCGAGCACAAAAAAGGAATATTAATGTCAACAAAGTTATTTAGTGTATTATTTACCATTTGGATTGTATAATTCTAAAGAACCTGTAACAAGTATTGTACTTCAGCACCATCTCGATCAGATTTTGTCCAGTTTCCCTGATCCTTGCGCAAATGCTCAAATGGCCCCTTGTTTTGCTTCTGGACATAAATGTATCTTCAAACTTACTTCTCCCCACATCACGTCACACACAGTTTTCAACGGTTTTTGACGTAATTAAAATAAATAAATAAATAAATAAATAAATAAATAAATAAATAAATAAATAAATAAATAAATAAATAAATAATTAAATAATTAAATAATTAAATAAATAAATAAATAAATAAATAATTTTTTGAAAAAATCCTCTTCATACTTTTGTAACAAACTTTTTCATGAACATTTCACGAAGTTTACTTTGCATTATTCTTAATATCCATTCCGCCACTTTTATGATATAACAGCATTACGATAATATGCACAGTAAGACTTTTGGTAAGAGCACAGGGAACAAAAACCCTGATACTATGTCCGCAAGCTCGAAAATTTCTTCTGATGTAACATTGTTATTCTGCGGTCCATCAGACTCTCGCATTGTGAACGGCAACGAAACATCAGATCTTCGCAGGCAGAGGAGGTGCTCAACGAACGAAATGAGATCGAACACCATCATTGCCTATGGATGTATGCCCTACGTTTGGTATACGAAATTATAATCAAATGATACGGAGGTAAGATAGTGTTCATAAAATTTGGGTATGTCAAGTGATGGCGATGGAATTTGATATACATTGAATATTTTTCGAAGAACTTTCGAGGAAAGTTGTGTGTTTTGAGTCCAAATTCACATGGAACTAAATGTCGACGAGTTATTTTCACGCAAGAACGTTTCCTGCTATCATTGAGGCTGGAATTAATTTTGGTTTTGGAATCTTTGCAGTAACGAACCTTACTCTGCAAACGTATTTTTAAATAATTTCATTGGTTCCATCTCATCTTTCAATGTGGTAAACTTGCATAGCTAGAGTATTTAACAAACGTTAAGACTTATTATTTTAATTTTCATGAATACGTCAAGAAAGTAGACGACAGCAACTATTGTTTTTATAAGGTTATTGTGTTTGGGTAATAAATGATTGATTTAATTTACATTGCTCCCGTTTAGGTTAATTAATTCGGGCTTCGATAGGGCTACAATAATAATTATAAATGTTATTTTCATTTATGAGAAAAGTAAAACAGAATATGTATATGACCTGTCAGTTCACTCTTCTCGTTTATGGTTACATACATTACAATAATCGAACGTAACCAACAAATCCAGGAACTCTTATTCCACTTCCAAAACTCGCCCAATTTGTACACCCCTAAAACTCCGCCCTGGCCCACCCCCATTCCAGAGGTCTGCCTTTGTGTGTCTCACCGCCTCCCCCCTCCTCCTCCACAGGCCAACTGCGGACCCTCCAGCCTGTCAGCCCTGCTCTCCCCCGCACAGCCCCCCCCACCCCCGTCGAACGGTGCACTTGTACAGCTCTCGCCTCCCCAAAAACGCTCACCATTTTCCGCGCAGTGGCCGCTAGGTAGGTACGATCCTCTTTGCTCACGAACTAATGATAATTCAATAATTGCAACTATTGCTATTTTTATTATTTTTTACTTTGGTATATTTTTTATTTATTTAATTTTTATTTGTTCATCTGTTTCTATATATTTCATATTGTATAAATTTTTCACATTTTACGATGCTCGCAAAGCGATGGAACGGTACCTTACGTCAATACCTAGTCATACCAGGGTCTCATTAATTGACCATTAAAATCATGTAGAATATGCTCAGCTTCAATAGAAGGCCCACGGGATAGGTGGGGTGGTGTTGGTGGTGAGGAAGATGGAGCAGATCGTACCGTGTCTGTAGAAATTAAAAGCATGCAAGTAATCCCCTTCGCTGTACCCCTGTGGAAATGGAAATTAATTTTTTACTTTTGGCGTTCACTTCAACTACTGCTTTGTGTAATGAGTAGTTGGAGGGGATACTTTTAACAATAAATATTAATTAACTAATAATAATTTAATTCTGGCTTAATTTATTTGCAGACTAATAAAAAGGTGTGCTCTTTGGCATACGTAATTTGATTTAAAATGTTTCTTAATATTAAGTGATTTATAATGTTCTTTTTCAAGTACATAATTTTTTTTAGTCATACAACATACGTACTTTATCTACATAATATTCGTAGGACCCCGCTTATCTTGGAGTAACCATGGCTTCGGTGCGCCCCGCCGACCACTTCGAAAAAAACATTTGAACAGAAACGGAAAAAAATTATATACCACGATATGCCACTTACAAGTGCTCTTCCCAGTTACAATAATCATAAAATGTTGGCAAATCAAGGATTAACTGTGCCTAGCTCACATGCCTTCTGTCGCATTTTATTCATTTTTATATATTACATTTGTCTTTTGTATTTTACATTAAATTTAAAATTCATTTATATTTTACGCATTAACAAATTTATTACAACCAGTGTTCTGTGGTAACAAACATTTAGCAGGCTCAGGGTCCTCTAACTACGATAACTTTTCACTCTAAATGAAAGTGTTTCTGAAAGGAAGTTTAATTAAGTGTATCTGAAAAAAAAGAGGCGATCGGAATAAATTTGGAACTTAAAAATAGTTTTCTTAGGTTTAAAAAAGCAATATAAAACAATTACCACGAAAAAATAAGAACTAAACACGCGTTTCAAAGAACTGATATAAGATAAGAACTATTGAACAAATGTATTTACGATGTTTGATTGAATGTTATATTTTCCCCGATACACGTTTTTCATGGGAAGGTATTCTCCTGTTTCGCAAAGAGTGGCTCTTGCAACGTCTACACATCTCAAGCAGAAGCGAAACCTTTTGAAGGTGCCTAAGTTCCATTTTCCCCCGTTTAAAACGTAGAGAGACCTTCCACACCCTGAGAATTGTTTGAGTGGTTTGAAAGGCACTATCCCATTGTCGGATGACGGATTAAGAATATCTCTTTCGGTGGGACAAAAGTGAAATGCAAAATGAAATAGCGTGAGTGAAATTAATAAATTTCCACGTCTGATAAAAAAAGCTAGTGGTGTTAAATAGCGCATACTTTCTCGCCTTTAGTAATGCTTATTTAATACTATTTATGCAGCAGTTTCTTTCCGAATTAACACATCTCAGTCATCATTTTTTGTAAAACTCAAATTTTCGAAAAATTGTACATGACCCCATTTTAAAATCTATCTTTAAGGAACATATTTCATCAAGGGAAAGTCTCTATCTTAAATATTTTATTTGTAGGAAGATGCTGAAAAAAAATTGAACTTTTGCAATTTTCGAATAATCAGGTTTTAACGAACTTGACACCTGCACTATACTCTTAAACGTCCTTCACACTGCCTGTAACAAAGTTTAATCAAAAACGTTGGAGCTATTTCCTTTGAAAATTTTGAAAATGTCCTGGGGGATTCATGTAAAGTACCTCTAAAAATTTATATTTCAAATTCAAAAGGCCACGACATCAGCCTGATCGATGGGGGAATATCAATTTTGGAGAAAATCTGCTGAACGGTTTAGCCGCTAGCGTTGTACACAAACAGATAGACGGCCGGCCGGCCGAACAGACGTTTTGCCGTCATTCGATTTTTCGATATGAAGGACCCACAGAAGATGGATTCTGACTGCACCACGTGTTAGAGGACTTTTTGGATTCTGACTACACCACGTGTTAGAGGATTTTTTTTTTAATTTTGCAACTAGATTTATCCTCGTTTTCGTAACCAGGGCCTTGTAAAAAGATTTTCTGCCGAAAGTTCGTCGTTTTTTCGCGCAGCATTACATAACGTTTTCTCTACTGCGTAAGCGGGTGCGAGAAAGTAAATAGACAATGATAAATATACATTTGATCGAACTGACCTCGAAAAGCGATTTGTCACAAATCTCCGATAATGAAGTGAATATCATAGTCAGAATAAATAGGTTATTAGAGAACAAAATTCAATACCAAATGAAAAAGCAATTTTCTAAGAGAACCTTATTCAATTTTTTCTTTAAAATATAATATCAACAACTTACTCCATTTCTTTCTATGCGCATTTGTTGTGGAATGGTCAAGATATGTTGTGCTAAGATCTTCGAAAGCAGCAGCACGTCCAACCAAGTTTTGTACAGTAAACATTCCAGGAAGCAGTGGCGTCTCGTGTCTTCAAAAATCCGCAAAATTGTGCTGGAGCGGTTTTCCAAAAATGAGACTGGATATTTAAATTTTAACTGTCAAATAACCAAGGCGTTTGCGATACGCTTCACATTGTAACTCTCTACTGCGTGCACTTGAAAACAGTCTGAAACTCATATCCGAATTAACGGTATTGATAGCGTTTATCCTGACACGGTCACAAAAGAGTAGTTTTTCGTGTTTATTTTTTTTTTTGTACGATGAGCATTGCTTATGAAACTATGGAATTCTTTTTAGGCTCTTAGTTTCAACGGAAATTAAAACCAAAGCACATATGTCACATATGACACCCGGCGTCGGTAGCCGAATTCTTTAACTATGCTCCATGAAGTCACGGAGGTAAAGCAATGCAAGATGTCGCGGGTTTCCCGGTTGGGTGACCGCCTGAGAATCTCCCGGCGCCGAGACCCGGGGCGAAGGGATAAAAGATAATGACGGATTAAGACTGACGATGACTGACTACATAAAAAGGACGTTTACTCCAAACGTTCAACGCCAATAGGTGTCTATATAATGGAACGTTGTTGCGTATTGTAATTTAAAAATACCAACGCGTTTGCTGCGACAACTTCTCAGCTTTTTCATGAATTACGGCCAACTTATTCTTATGGGATCTTGGCCCATACGACCCTCATCACCGAACTTCGTGTATGGTGCTGCGTTCCGCTCGCTGCAAATTGTGTGCTGCCATCGCAGCAATGCTAAGAGCCAATTTTTCCCGCGTACAATTAACGAGACGTTAGAAAACGAACCGTTAAAATTAATGTCTCTGTGGAAATGTGTTCCGGATCATTGTTTCCCTGACCAGGGTTAGTTAATTGTCAGTTAACTATATACGAGGGTTGCCTTTTATATTTCAGGATTAGAGAACAAAAACAAATATTAATCATCGAAAATCACTTTATTGTTTTTCAAAATATTCTCCATGAAGATCTATACACTTGTGCATGCGTTTGAATCAATTGTCGAAGCACTTTTGCCACTCTGATTGAGGTATCTCCAAAACATGCATTTTGAATGTAGTAATCGCTTCTTCGTGTGTCGAAAAACGTTGACCTCTCAGTTTGTTTTTACGTAGGGGAATAAAAAGAAGTAATTAGATGCCACGTCAGCACTATACGGCAGATGACTCATCAAATCGATGTTTTGGGTGCTCAAAAATGCAGTTGTTTGAGCCGATGTGTGAGAGCTCACATTGTCGTGCTGAAGAGTGATCCGTCTTCGGCGGTTGGTTTTCCTGATCTTGGAAGATAGCTGGCAAACAAATCGTTGTGTACCACTCAGAATCGACTGTTCTGCGTTGTTCTAGTGGTACGGTTACGATATGTCCAGTTTTTTCAAAAAAAGGCGACAATTTGTTTGGAAGTGCTTCTTACGCGAACAACTTTTGTTGGATTTTGCTCATCTTGAAACACCCATACAGTCGGCTACTGTTTACTTTCGGGCTCATACGCGTAAATTCACGATTTATCACCTGTCATATCACGATTTATCACGATGTCATAGACGTGTTTCGAAGCATCGCGATCGTATTTTTGAGCATTTCTTTCGAACAATCGACACTAGCCTTTTTTTGAGCGATTGACAAATTGTGTGGGATCCAACGCGAACAAATTTTTTTGACAGTCAAATGTTCATGCAATATTGAATGTATGCTGGTCCCACTAATGCATAAGATTTTCTCAATCTCACGATAGGTCACATGACGTTCTTGCAATATCAGTTCACGCACCGCATCAATGGTTTTCGGAACAACAACTGATTTTGGACGACCTTCGCGAAATTCGTCTTGGAGTGAACTACGACCACGATTGAATTCACCATACCATCGATAAACACTGGTCCTTGATGGAGCTTTGTGGCCAAAAATTGAATTAAGTTCATCCATGCACTGTTGCTGAGTTAATCCACGTCGAGAGTTGTAAAAAATAATCGCATGCAAATGTTCACGATTTAATTCCATTTTCGGCCAAGATTAATCTTTTAAGTTACTGTAAACAACAGAAATAGAGCTCGTATGTCAACGTTCTGAGTACGTATAACCTCAAAACATCCAACTTTACGATAGAGCTGTCAGTTGCCAGATTGCAACACCAGGGTTGCCAAATCCTGAAGCATAAAAGGCAACCTTCGTAGATGAACAAAATTCTTTAATACTCGTTGGTGTGCGGAAGGCAATTAACTGAAGGCTCTACGACCTAGTATGTTTGCTCTCGGAAGGAAATTACGGGATTGCGGCAAAACAGGCGAAACGTCGGCACCCCAGCCAACGACGCGGCGTCTCCCGGATAGCCGAGAATTCATGGATTCGAGCCGCGGAAGCTTACGTACACACAACACAATTTTATTTGATTGTGTTTTTTGAGGTTAGATGTCGTTTTAAGCGTAACATATTTCTGTCAATAGCCCGTTAAATGCAAGTTTTCTGTGATGTACTCCTTAGTTCAATTCATGGCCGGGATAAAATTGAAGCTGTAACTTTCTTATGCAAATCACGTCAGTTGATGAAAGGAAGAGGCAGGCATTCCAAGTAAACTATTAGGTACGGTAATGGGAATACGTTAGTCTCGCCACACATCTCCCTTGCCCGATAGTCGGATTAATCACACCATGTACATAATTATTTATATTAATTTCTAACTTATTAAGAGTTAGTTAAAAAATGTAAAACTAAAAAATGAACAAATACCTAATTTCAATAGATGTTTAATGTAAAAAAAGGAATATTAATGTTTATATAAATCAACAGGTCTCACATCATAACAGCAATGCAAAACTACTTTTCGCTGAACCATTGCGAGAACGGTTGCGAGATAATGATTTATTCATAACATAGTTGTTAAGAAGTGAACCTTGAATGTTCTCGGTTGGCAAAACGCAAAGGTAATCGGTTTATTTTTCCACCAAAGCTTCTTTGATTCTAAAACAAAAATAAGGATCCAAGTAGTCAGATGTTTCTACGAGATACGAATCTGCGATAAAACTTGGAGATTCTAATTTAGAATTTCAAAGTTTCTTCCATTTTCTCGTATGTTCGAATATCAACCAAAACACTGATCCCCCGTCAGCTCATGCTTCGATACGATAATTTTGGGAGTACTTTGCATGAAACTCGTGAGACATTTGTCAAATTTTCAAAAAGAAATAAAAGCTTATTTTTTATTATTTTTTTTTTAGATTCTGTAAAGGACATTTAAGAGAAATATGCAAGTCTCAAGTTCGTTAAAAAACCTAATTTTTGGAAAGTTGCAAGAGTTCAAAATTTTTTCGGAGTCTTCCTACCACTAAAATATTAAAGATAGAGATGTTTTCCCTTAATGGAATATGTTCCTTAAAAATAGCTTTTGAAATAAAGTCCTTTACAATTTTTCGAAAGATCGTGAGTTTCCGCGTAATTTTGCTTGAATTTGAATGAATAGTCAATTTTTAATTTTGTTCAAACAATTGTTTTTACTTTCTCACACTTTCTAACGTATGAAGATAATGTATTGTAATCGTGCGCCGGAAAACGGCGAATTTTCCACACAAAAACTCTTGTGCCGGGTCCTGGTAAGGAAAAAGTGGATAAATACAGTTTCTTATTTTAGGGAGAAAATCCTCTAACGCGTGGTGTTGTCAGAATCTATGTTTTGTAACTCATTGACACCGAAAAATTGATTGACGGCAAAACGTCTGTCCGTCTCTACACAACGCTAGCACATAAAACGTTCAGCCGTTTTTTGCCCAAACTGATGTTCCTCAATCGTTCTACCTGATGTTTGAAAATTTTCAAAATCTTTTCGGCGTCTTCCTTTTTAAAAAGTTGGAAATTTCGAAAAAGTTGAAATTTTGTTGAACATTTGAGTATTATTTGCTTAATTTTTCGTGAAAATAGGGCGAGAAAGTACGTGCTTTTTCTAGCACGGGTGTTAAAATTTTCCTCATTCTCCTTTCGTGCATCCGCGCCCGCTGCAGGTCTGTCTGTCCGTCTGCCAGTTTCTTTGTCCGTCTGTCTGCTCCTCCATCTCTTTTTCTGTCTGTCCATCTATCTGTGCGTCTTTCTCTTTCTCCGTGCGTTCGTGAGTCCGCTTGTACGTCTTTCCCTCTAACCATTTGTGTTCAACGCTACCGCCTAAAACATTCAGACGACTTTCTCTGAAATTGATATTCCCCTATTGATCTGACCACACTCAAGTCACCGAATTTGAAACATATATTTTGATTCTTGAGGGTTCTTTACATAAAGACTTAATATGTTCATTTTTTTTCAAAAATAGCCACAATTTTTTATTAAAGTTTGTCCTGGGATTGCGTAAAGTACGCGTGTAAAATGCCAAGTTTCATTTTCGTTAAAATCGTTGAATTTTTGAAAACTGAAAAAGTTCAAAAGTTTTTGGTGTGTTCCTACGACTACAATATTGAAGATAGATATTTATTTGTTCCTTAATAAAATCTGTTGTTCAATGATAGATCTTAAAATAAGGTCATGTACAATTTTAGGAAAGTATGGGTAATTCTTGCGTAATTTTGTGTGAATTACAAGCACTTTTTAAACAATTATTTTCTAAAAAACGGCTCCATAGTTTTTGTTTAATTGTTTTCATCAAAATTAAAAATGGCGCAAGTCACATTTTCGGCGAACTCTGTATTTCGAAAATAAAAACTTGACATTTCAAAAGTATAATGATAATAGAAATTTTTGTCTTAAAATCTGTTCTAAAAACTTAGATAAGATTAAGTACATTTTATAACCTTTTTTTCCACTCATTTATACACTAAAAAATCAAAACTGTAAAAGTTAGAAATAATGTGAGGATGTATGTTCTTGGGTAGCACTATTAGCGTTTCCTTAGATGTTAATGCAAGGAAACTGTGATACTTATGATCCATGACTGTAATTATTCAACTATATCGTTTGCTTATTACATAAAACTGTCTATATTTAAATAGCAAAACTTTTAGCTAGAATCGCATGCCACAGCAGGAATAACTTACCACTACCGCCAGTGCGTCCGTTTACTGGATTCTCTTGCTATT